TTTTGCTAGGTCCGAGATGACTTGCAACAATTTAGGGGTTAATTACATGAATTGTAATCAATAATATCGTTGATAATATAGGCCATGTCAGGCCTTGAGACACTGGGAGTAGTATTTTACTATAATTCGCGTACTAACGGGGGTTTTCTGGGGGTTTTTTTCCTCTGTAGAGCGTTCAGAGGCGAGAGGGTGCAGAGTCTTTGCTTACTCTTCTGCTTCTTGATTACTACTGTTGTGTACCGTGCGTCGAGTCGACTGCCTTTTTCGGAACAGGTCGCATAAATCAGGGATGTTGGGTGGCAACTGACCAATCACAACAACAAAATAGATCCATTGCTCATAGGGTAATGAAGAAATCTGTAATTTTACCGATTCAAAAGGGCTGCTGTTGCCAGTTTTACAGGAATCTTTTTTTAGAATATTATTTTTATGATAAATAATAGAAATTGATTATATTGATAAACTACAAATAATAACATTTTAAACTTGTTGTGGGTTATTTCCGCAACAATGATTTTATCTAGGAGTTTGTAGACGACCAATCGTGTATTTTGGTAGCGTTGTAGGTCCAGTGCTGTTCCATAGTTATCTCATGTAATCATTAAGTGCTTGATTATGTTTTGCGGATCTCCTTGCAGCTGGGATTTCAGGAATTGCAGCTTCTCGGAATTGCTGAGTGACGAATTTTGATCTATCAATCTCGTAAATAGATCAAAAAAGGTGGGCCAATCTTCGTATTTTCCTGAGAAAGTTGGAAGTTTCATAGTTGGAAGGCTGGAGTTGGGAGAGCTTGTTCCTTGTTTAATTCTTTCCTGAACTTTCTCTTGTAGCAAGTGTATTTTTTGTGTTAGGGCCCTATGATCCGCCATGTAACTTTCTTCCAGTTTGGAGGCGTTAGCCATAATTTCATTATGCTGTTTCTTTATCATCATCCATTGATCTAGCAGCTCTTCTAATAATATTGCGTATCTTGAGACTGATTTAGTTTCTTTCAATTCCTCTTCGATTGATTTTGCGGCGTATAATATTTCTTGGATCATTATCTCTTTTTTGTTCATACGCCCGATTTGTTCGTTTTCGCCTTCAGCTTTTGCTTTTTCGTCCGCTTTTTGGCAGTTCTTCAAATAGGCTTTGGCTTCGTTGTAGATGCTGCTAATTTGTTCACTATATTTTGTAGTGAAGTATGTGTGCTGGTGTATGCCCAATGCTACCATTTCTTCGTGGTTTTTTTTTAACGTTTTCCCATGCTTGGTCTAATGCGGCATTTCGTGTTTTTACATATTCACCAGTTATTCTCGTTACCGGGTCTTTTTTGCTATTGATTAAGATCCGGTTGATTTCGTTCCCGAGTTCTTCTTGTTGTTTGGCTAGCTGGTTTGTTTCATCAATTGTTTTTGCTTCTATGGCTCAATGGCGTCTGGTTTATGCGGCTTCTTACGGCACTGCTGTCTTAACAAGGTTTTTTTTTCTTCTCTGGCCGGCGTGTGTGGTTCGACTAGAGTGGCTTTTTTCTTCTCTGCTTGGTGTGTAAGACTCAAGTAGAGTGATGGTTTTCTTCCTTCTGGCTTGTGGCTCAGTGGAGTATTTTTCTTCTTCTCTGCTCGGCGTGTGTGGCTCAAGTAGAGTGGCTTTCTTCTTCTCTGCTTGGTGTGTAAGACTCAAGTAGAGTGATGGTTTTCTTCCTTCTGGCTTGTGGCTCAGTGGATTATTTTTTTTTTCTTCTCTGCTCGGCGTGTGTGGCTCAAGTAGAGTGGCTTTCTTCTTCTAGTTTTTTGCTCGAAGGACCATGAAAAGGCCAGGGAAAATTCCTGAGCCCTGAGCCTTTATATTCCCTACTACTCTATAGCAGTCTCACTATAGATTACAGGCAAGGTGACTTGGCCGTAGTAGGTTTTTGTGAGTAAAAACAACAGTAATATTTTACTACTAGTTGAATACTGATTTTATTAGGAAAAATATCACAATTAATATTAATCTAAGTCAAAATAATTTTAATAATAATTTTCATAATTTTAAGTCTCTAACCTTGTTACGACATGAACCTATTATGTTCCGGAATAGTGAAAGGTCGACACTTTTGGTGACCTGACACGCTTTGACCGTGAATATTTTATAATATTATTTATATTGAACAATTGTTTTTAAATAAGGAAATTCCAGGCAGTTAATTAATCTTTTTTTTTTTCTTATGTGCCTCAAATGGCCAAAATTATCAGAAATGCTTTTTGGGCACATGGCGACTAGACACTGATATTTACCTATTTTGTTTTATAGGAATTTGTATGAATGCAATTGTTATTTGACAAATTCGGAGATTAGATTCAGGCAGATGTAAATAATGATGACTAAGAAAAAAGGAAAAGGCCTTAGGGTTGGTTTGGGATAGTTTGTTAGAGACAGCATCAAATAACTAGGCAAATAGCAACATTCTGTTTATTTTTAACTATTTGCCAATGCACTTGGTAAATGACTGGGCAAATGGCTATATGCCTGAAATTGCTTTATCGACATCTATACACCAACATTTGAGGCCAATCAAGCTTCTTATTTGACTACCAGAACCAAAATTAAGTTAGTATTGTCAAGTGGCTTGATGTTGAGGAGCTAGGGAAAGTCAAAATGATATTCGTATCTGTAGACGCGAGTATCAAGCGATAAGCGTACGGTAATCCGAGTGATTTTCTTATTACCGTGCCGAGGTCGGGTACACTGTAAAAAATATTGAGTGAATTTCCACTCAAATTTCACTCAATATTGTCTCAGAAATGGTCCACACCGGATTGAGTTGAATTTTCACTCTATTGGCGTGAGTGAAATGAAAATTTTATTAGTGAAATAAATGTGTCCCAAAAGAGTGATTGGCGATCAATAAAGAGTTCATTATATAATCAAAAATTATTTTAATTTTAATTATTATTTGTTCAGTTGCATCGATCTTGATTAAAATTTAACTCTATAAAAGTTTAAAGCAGTCAATGATTGAGTTAGAAACCAATACCAATCTCCTTCTAAGTAGCTACCAGCAGGATTAACTTGCCAGTAACATTGGATGGTACTTACCAATTTTAATGTAGGTATATATTTGTTCCAGTACCTAGTTGCTGTAAATTTAACCTGCTGGTAAATTACTTTCCAGGAAATCAACTAATATGCCCTGTAAAGAAATTCAAACTAATGGCTTAATAGGGATTATGCAAATCTATCTGAAATTCGCCTTGGTTTATTCTTTAAACTACACCCGCGAGTAGGTATAGGTATACCTACACTTTGAAAAAAGCTACACATCACATTCGGGATTCGGATAAATAAGTAAATAAATTTGGGGTTATTGATTGGGAAACGAACAGGACGACGCTTCGAGTGCATCCGTACCGTACAATGTGAGCTTGCGTAATGCGTGAATGGGAGGAATGAGCGTCAAATCACAAATGTATTTCGCAAAAGCGCTAAAAAATGAACTCAGTGAACTAACTCACTATCCAAACTGCAGTCACTCATTGGAATTTTTTACAGTGTATCTCAACTGGACGCCCGATACAAAAATGCCACCGGGCACTAATCCCCAAGCTCCAAATATAACTTTAAATGGCCATTCTTTGCAGAACGTAGAGCACTACCCATACCTAGGGAGCCATCTGTCAGCGAATGCAACCATTGACGCCAAAATCCAACATCGCTTGAAGTGTGCTAGCGCAGCGTTCGGGCGACTTCTCGAGTCTTCAACAATCACGACATCAGCGCTGAGACCAAACTTCGCGTCTACAATGCAGTTGTAATACCAACACTTACATGTAGCTGCGAAACATTGTCCACCTACAGAAGATACAGGAAAATCTTAGAAAAATACCACCAGCGATGCCTCAGAAGGATCCTACGGATTAAATAGCAATACCGAATACCGACGAACGAACATTAGTGCTTTAGAGAAGGCCAAAACAACTAGCATAGAAGCCCTCATCATTAAGCACCAACTTCGCTGGACAGGTCAGCTCGTCCGAAACACGTGTTCCACGACAGATTCTCTACAGTCGACTAAAGGAGGGAAAACGAAATCAAGGAAGTCAACAAAAACGTTACAAAGATATTCTTAAGGAAAATAGGCAAAGTGCCGCATCGATACCAGCAACTGGGAGACGACGGCAGATGATAGGCCCTCATGTCGTCGAGTAGTCCACGACAGACGACAGACTTTTGAAAAACAGCGACGCAGACACGAGACCGAAAAGAGGCATCGCAGGAAGGAGCGAGAGGAAGAGACAATGCTGCCAGAGGCAGGGCATACCAAGACTGTGGAAGAGTGTGTAGCTCCAGAATTGGTATAAGAAAACGCACAATCGATGACAATAAAAATATAAAAGGGGATAATCATACTCGGTTTCGAGTGATCGCCTGATGATATTTAATTTAGGAGAACCCAATGCAGTAGTAAGAAGGTTGGAATCGCCCTTTCCCTATCTACTCAATACATATATTTGCGGTCAACATTAGAGTGAGAGAACAGAAGAGATCCGTGAGATTTTCCTGCCCTTACTAGCGCTATCTCACCCAGGGTTAGAGTGAGAGATATAGGAGATCCAATAGATTGTTTGCCCTTACTAGCGCCATCTCATTCTGGAATCAATTGAATGACGCAAAGCCCATTCCAAACCTTCTTTCTACTTCATTGGGAGAACCTGATTCTCAATTATCATATACTTCACTAAATGCATTAGAAAAAAAGTTTGATTCATTGAGAAACATTATTTTGGTCTAATAGGCAGTTTAAATGCCCTCAGCGAGCACTAATCGGGAGAATAAATTATAAGTCATAAACAATCGACTCCTCTGCAAATTGTCTTGTTGATATACAATTGCTAATTCTCCTTATGCTCGAACCATTGGATTTTTGAATTGACTTTATCGATCACATTGTTTGTCACGAAAAAGTCGTTCTTATCACAAAATTTACTATTGCTGCTAACCAGAGGGGCTTTCAAGTTTGAGTAGCAATTATTATTTACCTAGCATGAACGATAGACGGAAATCTAACTACTGGTCCACGAGTCATCCCATCTGCCACAACACTGCTAGTAACACCAGATTCCTTCAGTGCTCTACAACCTCTGTTAGTACTGGCTACCAGGCATCCTTCAGTCGTTGCCATTGGCACATGTAATTCTCTTCCGTCCAAAAGTAGGGGTCCAGCATATCCTACTGGTATTGGCATGTATCCAATGACATTTTCACAACATGCACCCATGACCTGTGAGAATTTTTTTTTTAGGTATTTACCGAATTCTATACTATGACTAGATATTGTATAAAAACGTTAATAATCGCGAAAGTATGTCACTGGCAACAGACATATAAAACCTATGGGTGGAGTTGCTGTCCTTGTCCCACTAAAATGGACAATTGTTATTTTTTAAACATGATACCGGTCTTTTGTTCTACTAGTGCCTGTAGTTGGATGTGAATTTAGTTTTTCGGTTGTGTCAGGGACGTTAGCGTTATTACTTAAACTTAGATGAGCGACCGCTCAAGAAATAGTGCGGTCGCATCCTGGAAGTGCGCAAAAAGTATAGTACTGACGTCTCGGGCTAACGTTTCATTCACGCCGGTCGAAGGCCGGATAAGACTAAGACGCGATAAAAAATAGTCCATGTCTGTATTTGAAAAAATAAAGTCGATGATGGTCAGTCAAAACCAAAACATTGAATTTTTTATTTGGCAGCACCGTCGTGTGGAGGCAGAAAAGTTTCCTCATAAGTGAAATTTGAAGTTCCTTACCAGTGAATAATTATAATTCCTATAAGGCAGTGCGTCAAGTACTTGAGGAGCATCCAAAAGAGTGTTCTCCAGAAGTTTTCTTCTGATACGGACACCTCTTTCTGGATCATCTACAGCCTTTTCGAATTGGTATCCTGCAATGTGTTTGTTTTTGTGTAATAAAAGTATTTCATCGTCCGATAAGGCTGTAGCTCCTAGATCCACGTTATTGAAAACTTTTAGGCAGTCTTCTAGGGCCCGGCATAGACGTGGCATGTCGTCTTCTGGTGAACTGTCAATGTCTGAATTTGATGAAGACATTGTTTGAACTTCTTTGTCTTCATAGATAGGCTCATAGGAATCGGATGTATCTGAGTAAAAAAACATAAACCAAATATTATCAAAGGAAAAAAACGACAATATAAGTTTAGAGGAAAAGTCAAAAATTGGTAAAGATTTCTACATTTCTACATACGAAACAAAATCGTTAACAAATACAATTATTACAACCATATAGGTTCGAGAAGTTACGAGTAGAGACAAAAATCAATCTGTATTCGAATTTTAACCTTAGGCTTATTCTGCAATGTTTAAATTTATCGTAACGTAAACGACAGATCAGTTTTTCTAATTCTAATTTATTTTTAAAATCAACATTACCATCATCCTTGACTTGCGTTATCCCTAACAAGCCAGAAAATAACGTAGCATTTTTAGAATATAAACTTGAAATCGTTAAAGCATCAAGCAAATGTATTTACGTTAGGTTAGTTCGAAAATTGGAATATTCAAATTCCCCCATTCATGCGCCGCCATGCTCATTCACGTTTGTGAGATAAAAATCACATTCAGGTAAATACAAGTTTCCCTGACTTGCGATTTTTGAATACATTTTACATTGTGGTATGACTCGAGATTACTTATTTTATTTTTGTATGACTGTGAAAAAGAAACGATTTGTTTTCACTTTAAAGTGCGTAAAATGTTATTTTAGTGACGCCATGTTAGTCAGAATAATGGTATTTACACGTTGGAAATAATCCCCGATGCTACCTACTTCTTTAAATTAATATTCTTTCTACTTACCGCCTAAACTAAAGCTTAACATCGGCGCCCGCTTGTCTTCAGTTTTTCCAGTTGGTCTTTTTTCAGTAGATGTCTCTACTCTCTGTTCTACAAATTGTTCTTCGGTATCGAAGAAAATTAGTTTAACTAGAAGTGCTGATGCCAGCATTAATATGACGATGTGCTCAGCGCTAAGTGTCAACCATCTGCAAACAAAGACATTTTATTAATGTGAAATTAGGATAAAATGTGGTCCTACTTCTATATTTTTGACATTTTTGGCCTTAGGAGTCCTCCGCTTCCCAAAGATGGAAATAAAAATCTAGAAATGATTTTTATGGCCGAATTTTCTGTGTTTGAAGAGGCTCTACTGAAAACGGTTACCTCGATCGAAAAAATATGTTGCTGTCCAACCAAAGTAAAAGCATTTTTTAAGTAGGTAAGACATTGATACAATATTGCATTGGCGCGGAGAAGCCGAAGCCAATGTACTGAGCCTGTGGTTTAAATAAACAAGCATTTACGTGATTCTAGAGATTTTTCGATTAAATGGTTTTGTATACAAAGTGCATAGTTTCTGAGTCAGTGAGTTAAAATAGCTGGTGTTCAATAATGATTATTATGGTTTTAGTTCGCCGAGGTTCTCTTTTTCTTTCGTGAGCGTTGATAGGTTTGTATGGTTTGTTTGATGGTACTTGTCACTATAATGTCATCTGATTTCTTGGATTTATTAGTTCCTAATAAAAATGACGTGTAACAAACAAAACACATTGTAATTCGTGAAAATTGTGTACGGCCGAAGAAGAATTTACTCAACAAGAGCAACAAGATCGGCTTCAGGAAAACTTCAGCAAGAATGGATTCAAACTGTGATCTCTGGAAGGACCAAATAAATTCTAAAATGCCATAGAAAAAGTACGTGACGAAAGTTGGTAGTATTCGTCAGGAAGTTGTAGCTGATTATTGGGAAGTTGGAACTGTTCGTCGTGAAGTTGAATTGTTTCGTTAAGAAATGGATAGTGTTCAGAACAAAATTAACAAGTTGGATTGTGACTTGAGATTAAAGAATGTCTCAATATCGCCTGCAACCGGTATTAAAGTTGAACGATTACCGTCAGTCTGTCAGACATCGTGGACGATGTATAGGCCTTTGTTCAAAACTGTTGCAATCACCAGAAAGCTGTGACAAGTGTACAAGAATTTGAAAACCGATATTTGTCGTCTGGTTAATTTGGCCTACCTGGAAGGAACAGCAGAAGTGCGAGAACAACTAGCGGTCAAAAATGTTACCAAGAAAATTAGAGATATGGATGTACAGAGAATGCTGCTCGTGACCAAACCCGTCAAGTTTCATCTAAGCTCTAATCAAAGCACTAGAAATCGAAGCGGCCTATAAGATAAGTGAAGAAAAATAACCAAAACGGGAAATCAAAGACACAATAATGAACGATCTTCTGAAAGAAATAGGAAAAGCTGTCACCAGAATCAATTGAAAGAGGAGTACGGAGTGGGAGAAGAGGACATTTTACACGTGACTGCAGAGTACGGCTCAGCAGATCTTGCTGTCCTTCTGGTGACTCTCAGCTTTTAATGGAGGAGTTGCAATAGTACCATTTTCAAAACAAACATCGTTCTGGTGAACTGCATAACAACTCGGATACCTTATCCAGGTGAACATGTCCAGCTCAATGCAAGCACTGCTTCAGAATTGATCAGCGTGAAAGAGTTCCTGTCAGAAGCGAAGCTTGTCAATCTGAAAGAAACTGGCAACAGATTGCCCACAAACTGAAGAAAAGATAAGTGTCCATTACCTATCACGACAACACGAGTTGACTACGAATTATCCAGAAGGTCATTCACAAAAGTCGCACACGAATATGTTTTTGTCAGCACAATCTCGAAATTTGAGATACTCAAGATGTGGAAAAGTGAATTTTCCTAAATGTCTGTTTGAGAAGTACCTACCTAACACCTGATGCATAAAATTTATTTCTTCGGATAATCTATATGTTACAGCATACACTATTATTTTGATAGTAACTGTAGGTATAGTTGCTATCAATTGATGGTAATTTTGCTATGCGTTAAGGATAGGTAAATTAACAAAGGTTTTGAAATGTAAAATATCTACTATAAAAATTGATACCCTGATTTTAAGGTTGCAGCTTTGAGAATGTTGGGATGTTTTGAAAGGTGCCCTATAAAGTAGAAGTAATGAGTATGAGCAGATTTATAATACTCAAGTTGTTAATTTTATAATAATTCATAAAGTTTAAAATAATTTAAAACAAAATTGAAATAATAATAATTTTTATTGGATCCTTCACTAAAGTGACAAAATTTGCGAGGTTTTTGAAACTCTTTGCTTAGTTAGTAACTTTAACTTTTTTTAACATGGTCACGGAAATGTTAAGAGCAGAATAGAAAGTTACATTTAAGGTTATTCATGACTAAATAAATGATAAAATAAGTAATTACCAACCTTATAAAATATCCATCAGTTGCACCGGGTTCCTCGGTCCTATTCAAAGATTGTTGAACTAGGGGTTCGATGGTGTACACTTCACTGTCTTTAAATGGCCAACGACTAAAAATTATTGTTGTTTTAAAAAGTTCTAAGGCTTTAATCAGAGTTAAGGATCTATAAGCGCAATAGAAAACTCGTCGTCAAAAGGAACGGCAGCAAGCTGAATATTTACATATTTATGTAAAAAGTCTTGGTTATATCGAATATGTAAAACTGAATTTCTGTTTTTTTATAAGTAATAATTAGTTTTAGAAAATTTATTTCACCTGTGTACATGGACGACCATTAATCCGAAAAACATAATCAGTTTGACCCTTCGTAGAACGGGATTTGATTTATGATCTTCCTCTTTGAAAACAAACTTCATCAAAGAATCTTTTGTAGGCATTTTTGATCCGGAAAGCTGAAAAAAAAATCCATTTGTATAGTTATTGAACAATAATTGTACTATTTTGATAGAAACTTTGAACGTGGTAGAAGAAGCCTATGAAAGTACCTATCACCAAAGTTCACTATCACAGTAAAATAGGTTGAATATAAGAGCAAGTTTGAATATCTATGTCAAATAATCCTCTACGAGTGAGAAGATATGGCTTTAAAAGTGCGATTAAATACCTATATAAATGTGTTGTACCTATTTTCTAGAAATTCATTGGCTAAAGCAACAAAGAAGATCTTCAAAAAAAATGCAATGCCAGTGGTACATCATGCTTTGTTATGCAAATCATTATCGTCTTAGGTAATGTTAATTTTAACAGGAAATACCATAATAAAATGTTAGCATGTAATTACGATGATATTATTTATTTGCACTGTAGGTAACATACATGAGGAAGGTTTCTTTGTCTTACGCCGAAAAAATTTTACACAAAATTAAATTTTTTCTTCAACAAACAACATACAATAATGTTTGATACACGTTAATATGGGTATGCTGTCATGAAATATTATAAAAAAGACACGAATTAAAAGCAGCAAATTAGACTAGAATACTGTCATCGATTCCAGCAAAAACTCACTTTTACTAACAATAACAACTTTTATAGAACTATTTTGACAAAATTCTTACCTTTATACAAAAATTATTTCATTTACATTGACTGCCCGGCGACTTACTTACGCCCTTTATATTGAAAAACAATCAATTCGAGACTTCTTAGAATCACTTATTTATCAGGTCGTTTTGATCTGACCATTATTATTCTCGTAATAAGCCATTACCCTGTCAAGATGCACCACCTTCTCTTCTACGTCTATAGGTCTACTTAGATCCATAATGATTTCATCTATTGTTCTTTATCTTCCTACTACCAGCAGTTTCAAGGATCCCCTGAACCATGGAAAAATGTCTTCTAGATCATAGAACATATTCGTCATACTAGTAATCATAATGATCATCCCATCTATCCGCATGCTTAACATCTCTATGCCTGTTGAATGAATCCTTTAAAGGATGCCGTCCTGTCTATCCTCTTGCCTGATGGGTGGTTTTTCTTTCCAAGAACTGACGTCACGGGAACTAAAAGAATGAACACCTGTTCGTTGTTGGGTAACATGCTGCTAGCCGCCTTGTCTGTGTTTGTGAAAGTTTCCTTGAGTTTCGAAAATAGTTTGACTATCTTCTAATTGATCACTTGTCTGTTTTGTGCAAGTTTCCTTGAGTTTTGAAAATAGTTTGGCTATCTTCTAATTGGATCACTTCAGTGGCGTAACTTCAAATCCGGGGCCCCCCTGCAAGGATTTTCCCGGGGCCCATCTTTTATGTATTTTTTTTTTCTTTCTAATTTTGCTTTATACAGGGTGTCCGTTTTAAGTGATACCACTATTGCTATCTCCGAACCGGAAGAGGGACGAAGTAGGTTAGGTAAATTAGATAAAAGTGGTAGATTTTAGTATCCATTGAAGGTAAGTACACAGGGTTGCAGAGTTTTTATTCGTTTCCGAGATATAAAAGAAAATGTAAAAAAAAATTAAACTTAATCAATAAAATATTTCAAAATCTATTAACTTTAGAAAAAGTGTCCATACAAAAGATTCCAGATTCTTTCTTCTCTACAAAATGGTGTCATTGTTATCTTCACACGGCTCGAAACAAACTTATAAATAAGCTAATGGCATGGCCAAAAAATGAACTACCTAATATACAGGTTTGACAGGTCAACAACAGGCAAATTTTAATGCAATAGAATGAAATGTCTAGAAAAACTCTAAGGTTGAATAGAGAACGAAAGATAACGATTTCCCCTGTTCCAACTCCAGCATTCCCAGTGCTTTTTAGCCACCTTGTTGTTGTCTCCCTCCGCTTCGCGACGGGAGGCAGACCACATCTCGCTCTAAAATCTAATACTTTTTTCCCTTGTATAATGAATAACTATTATTAATGGGATGTTCCATTTTTTGGTGTTAAAGTTGCTCAATATATTGGAATATAGAATATCATCCATAACTCTTTGGAATGTAGCCGGCGCGTTCTTCAAACCAAAGGGCATGCGCAAGAACTTATAATGCCCGTTTTCTGTGCTGAATGCGGTTTTTTCGATGTCGTTGTCTAGATCTGGTGGAAGCCGCTAGCTAAATCTGAGGCAGTGAAATACTGCCAGCGTCCCAGCTTCTTCAAGAAATCCGTTATGTTGGGTTATGGGTATCTGTCAAACTGTTTGTCAAAGTGATTATAGCAAAAACAACAAAAACATAAGACACACAAGTTTGATATAAAAATAAATAGTTAGGAATGTTAGGATCAGGAACTCAATATTTTTGTATCTATTCACTACACCCACTACATATATTGCAAAAATCACTATGGGGGCTCCGCCCCCATAGCAAATTCACAACGGGGGCTCAAGCCCCATTGCCCCCATGGTTCCGGCGCCTATGTGTCTAAACATTTCTCTCTGAGATCTCTTACATTTGTTAGACATACTTTTTCAATGGTTTTTATGTATTATGGGGTTCAAAGGTTAGTATTTACTTTTAGTTTAGTAATATTCTTGTCGCCAGTTTAGTACTTTCTGGTCGTCTGGTCTGGGGCCCTGCGGGGCCCCCAAGTCACGGGGCCCCCCCGCAAATGCGGGCCCTGCGGGCCCTTAGTTACGCTACTGGATCACTTCCCGGCTTTTATTATGCAGTTTACTGAATCGATGTTTGGTTCGAAAATCGGACTGTTCCCATTTCTCAATCAAAGGATGATAAATATCAGAAAGAAAGCGAGATTCTCTTCTTTCGCAGTGGTACCGGTAGTATCACCTTTCAAGTTCTCCTTTGAAGGCTAAGAGGGAGTCACTAGAGCGAGATCTCAATCGTACTCTATAATCACGCCTAAGATATTCTTTTGTTCCGCAGCGGTAACATACGGAGCGTCGAGCGTCCTTTCAAGTTCTCTTCGTTAATTCTGGTAACAGTCCTAATATTTTTTCCAAAGGTTCGTTCATTGAGTCCTTATTAATTTCTGCTATTGGTTCTTTTTTTTCTCTTATTGACACAGATCTGATCTTTGGATGGGATATCTTATAGACCACTTCGATTTCTAGGGCTTAGATTAGAGCTTCGCTCCTATTTCATTCTTTGTTTATGAGCAGCATTTTGTATACTGTGTACATCCATCCAACTCTAATTCCATTGATAAAAAATTTCGGCCGCTAGTTATTCCCGCATTTCTGTTGTTGCTTGCAGGTGTAGGCCAAATTAACAAGACATTTCAAATTCTTGCAAACTTTTGAAAGCTTTCTGTTGTACCTGGTAAAGCTGCCCCCGATGTTGATGCCCATTACGAGGCTCTAACGCATCGAAAAGCGCACCATAGTTTTGATGAGTAGCTGGCGGAAAAGTATCTGAAAAGTCTAACAGCGGTTTCGACTGGCTGCACTAAGCCGCACTCAATGCGAACTCGAACATAATCACGATTTCGACTGGTAGGAGCAATGCAAGAGCAACGTTAAAGTACGTGTTCGACTCGATTTGCACTGACCCGATGCAAATTGTTTTTTTGTTCGGTTGTATCAGAGCTACTTCGTGAACTAGCACTCAGTGTAATTATTTTGGAACCGTCATACACGGTCAGTTCTGGTATTTGCATTCTTTTCAAAATTCTTTATTTTCCTGTTATTGACAAATTTATTCATTATTCAATGAGAGATATTGAAAAAATTGCATTTTTGAATGAAATAACATCCTCTTCGTCATCTAGCAATACCGAAGACGAATCACTTTCGTCAGATGGAGAACTGATGTACCCTCATTTTTAATGATAAGCAGGGCCGGATCTACGAATTTTTCGAGGGGGGGCAAAGATGTGAATTGCCGCCCCCCTGTTAAATATTATTTTTTATGTATATAGTCACAAATGAGGTGTTGAATTTCACAATTTATTTATATGTAGCAGTTGCAGCTCGTGGTCTATACTGGAAGGGGTTCACACCTGAAGTGATCCAGTAGTTGAAGCCCAGCTCGTGGGATCCAGTAGTTGTAGCGCACCACAGGTGCCACCAAAGGCAGGAACTATTTTCGGGTGCCACGCCCAAAGACGTATTTCAAGCCCCAAAAAAATTTTTATTGGAATATCAAAGATTCATTAAAAAAACTTAATTTCATTTATCGCTCAATATTTGAGTCCTTTTATCTGAGGGATGGTAGCGCAGAATACATAGCTGTGGCCGGAGCCGGATTCAATGTTGTACTATTGTACAACAGAAGGCGATTGATTATTCATTTATGACATGATATTTTTGAATTTATTGTATTTATTTGTCTGCGTGCACATCAAAATTAGAAGCTTATGCCAATATTGAGCATACGCATCTTATTAGCGGGAGCGGGCCAACCGAATGGTGCGCGGACCATGCGTGTAAAGCCGCGTCCACATTAGTAAAAATTTACGTTGTGCGTGTCATTCGGCACAAATTTGTGTGTGCGATACAAATTTATCCGAGGGTGTTCGCTGCATACGGACGCACGCAAAAATTTTTGCGGCATTCACCGCACGCGATCCGCGGCATGTCGGTTTTTTTCAAGACATCAAAGGGATTTGCGGCGAAACATCGTTCTAGTGTGGACGCATTTTTTCGCGATCGAAACAAATAACCAAAATAAAGCGACGCGCACTCTGAAATAAAATAGGCACACACGTGTTGAGCAGGAACGCACGGCGCACAACACAAATATTTATGTCGGTCAAGATACCAAATTTGTGCCGCAAAAACATGTGGCGAATCCCGAATTCAACGCAACGCATTTCTTTACTAATCTGGACGCGGCTTTACAACGTGATGATGATGAAAACACATCTTTATACTATCGGACAGCCAAGCTGCCTTAAAAGCCTTGAGAGGGGCGTTTAAATAAAATGTCATTTACAGACCTTCACAAATTTCTGTTCAATTCCAAATTTAGACCGCTTTTCAGTGAAATGAAGATATGTTCATAACAATAATAGTTTGGAGTATAAGTTGAAGCATTTTTGGTTGCAAAATTCGCAGTCTAATAAATAGTAAAATTATCACCAATTTTGTTGACAACAGTATGCAAATTTTGGTCACGGATTTAAATGAAAAAGGGATAAACATATAGAGAAGCACATCAACAATAAATTTCCAAAATTTCGGATCATAAAATGCTGGAATAAATGAAAAGAACAGAATTTCCGTTAATTTATGAGTTTTTGTTCCAAAATTAATCAAAATCTGCCAAATAAAAAGGTGATTGCTGTCATTTTCAGCAGAGACTCAAACCAAACGTGTGTTCAGAGCTTCTCTTGAAGATGTCGCTGAGTTCGGGAAGCATATGAACTTCTTTCAAACGCCAGTAAAAACTGTTTCACCTAGCTAATAATGTGAAATACTATTATTTCATCTGCATCTGAATAAAATTATCTAGTCCACTGTATACTACTGTGTAAACGAATGGATATTGAAGATGTCGCCATCTACTTGTAAATAAGTCAATCACTTACAGGGAATGTGCACATTTGTGACTAAAAAATATTTAATGTAAAGTCTGTTTTTTTTTAAAGATAAAAGTCAAAATGACATTATGTTGGCAAAACAATGTAAAATAGTCAATGCTTCAATTTTTTTATGTAGGAAAGGCTTGTGTTGCCAACATAGTTACTAAATTTTTGACTTGGGGAATTATCTTTAAAAAAAAACACACTTTATGTCATAAAGCCCAAAAATGGCGCGCTGGCTCCTATCTGACGCCCCTCTTAAGGGCTTTCAAATGCACGTCAAAACTAGTCTGGGAGTGTAAACAGAGCCTAAAAACACTAGCGACACATAACCAGGTAACGCTGATGTGGCTTCCTGGTCATTGAGGCATAGAAGGAAACGAAGAAGCAGGTGGCCTCGCAAAAGAAGGAGCTTCAACACCATACCATAGACCAGAGCCCTACTGTGGCTTAATGAAAAGCCACATCATGAAGAACTCAACAAATGGGAAAAAGACCAACTGTCATCATATTGAAGGCACACTCCGGGACACAGACAGTCAAAAAGCTTTATTACCCTTTCAGCAAAAAGAGCTAAACAGCTCCTAAACATGAACAGACCAGACATCAGATTGGTGGTGAGACTCACAGGACACTATGCCTGGTAAAATACTATTTAAGGTTAATGGGCAGAGCAGAAGACGATCTTTGCAAATTCTGCTCAGACGCAATAGAGATCGCAGAGCACCCAATTCTGCAAGAGGCTCGAATTCCTCGAGGGGGCAACACTGTCACCAGAAGAAGTGGGCCAATTGACACCCAGGAAAATAGCTTTCTTCGGCAGATGTCTACGTTTCCTGGAGACAACCGAAGGTGTAGAGTCATGTACAAAATATCTGCAAAGGTAGCAGTGCTGAGCGGCTGAAAAGCCGAAACGACTCCCCCACAATCTATAATCTACGTGATCGAACGTCAAAGCTCTATTTCTTCCGGAGAGGGCAGCATAATACAGGGAACCTTGAGTAAGGTTACTGTGGGGTGGTCGGCTGTTCTATCAGAAGATGTGTTACAAGTTGGCACAATATTAGATAATGATTTTTTTTATTTTTTTAAATCGCTAGATATGTATGTTTTATGAAAAAAAGTTAGGCAGTGTCAGTGTCCCGTTTTGCCGCCCCCTCAAGATGCGAAGGGGGGCGCGCGCCCCTGTTCGCCCCCCCTAGATCCGGCCCTGATGATAAGGAGAAGATTCATAAAATTCCAAATTATATGGACGTTGTAGAAATCGATTCTGATAATAAAGTAACTATACAAGTTTTTAGTTTTCAAATACTACAATGCGTTTTATTTTTTATAACACATGGGAAATAGCTGATAAATGAGCGCCAATCGAACTAGCTCGGTTTTTCGATTTTTCCGTCCGAGTTCGCACCAGCGTAGGGCAAGCGCAATTAGTGCTCGCCCCTAGAGCATTCGAACAAAAACCGTGCTATCGAGTCGGAGCCGCCATAAGGTAGGGCCACTCATTGCTAGGGTCAAGCTATGTCATCAGAGCTCGCTGTAACAGTCGCGAACTGATGCCTGTACATTGCCCATGTTTTTTCGTAGAAATAGAACTAACAATAGGTACTTCAAAACAAAGAACAACATTGAAACAATTAATTGTTCAATTATTAACCCTGTTGCCAAGTCTATTATAAAGTTTCATGTTTCGAGAATTGCTTCTCGAAAGCTAAATTCGTTTACCAAGTATCACAAAGTTGATACGACTGCCATTTCCGATTAGCATCCAGGACAATACGACATAAATATCGTCAATAATTGGTATAGGGAAATATTGAAATGTATAGACTTACTTCTAAAATCAGTGATAAACAAGCTGGATAAAATGTTATAAAAACCATATAGTTGACTAACGCTGAAAGACAGGCAAACCAAGATAGCATCTCCAGTCTGTGTACTCCTAAAAAAAAAAATATTAATTTTATAAAATTATGAAGGATGTGTATTTCTTCATACCAGATAACGTTCCTACGCCAATAACAAGTGTCTCAACCATTGTGTCTAAAGTAGTAGTAGGTCCCAAAACAGCTAATCCTTTAGCAATATTATTTTTAACCTCATCTTGGTTTTTAGCGTTAAGAGCGAACTGAGCTAACATGGCTGTTTTGGAGAAGTCGACGAGCAGCAAGAAAAAGAACAGGGCATCTCTAAGAAATAATACAAAATATGAAAATTGCCTCCATGTTTTCCGCATCATTGGTCGTTACTTACTTTAAATCGCTAATATTTATTCTTAATATATTTAATACTGTCATGGTGAAGATAAAGCTGGAAAATACGGTGAACAGGCCGGCTATAGCTGAAATATGGAATTCTGTTATGATTTATTGTGTGTAAAGTAATCGCTTATATTATTAATCCTATCTTCTTAATATTTTTATTGAAACATTTTGATACGGTTATGTTAAATGGAATAGGGTGGGAAGTTTATGCCTAAGTTGATTCCAAGTATCAGTTCCAGCAAATAAGGTGATTCTCTTATCTTCAGCTCAAAAAAGTTCAAAAAAGAACTATACATTTTGCACTCTTGCTTGTGTGCTTTTATGTGACAAATCGATTGGTCAAGTTTTAGAAGCCCTCGCGGCTCTGCGGCGTAGGTGCAAAAACACACTAGTTTATTTTGCCATACCTACCAGACAATGACTTACAAAATAATAGATGGGAAGTCGTAATCGTAAACGTGTAGCTGCATAATATAATTAGTCAACATCAATCAATTAACCACGTTGGTATGTGAATTGTAAATTGTAATTTCTATATTGAAAAAAATATATCTAATTTCTCATGAAACAGCAAAAGGTAAACCAAACTTCAACCTTTCTTGAGGGCAATTTTTTGTGTGAATTGAGCTTCAATTTGAAAGCGAATAAGGCATTACTTTTAACATAAAATTAGAATCATTTAAAAGATGTTATCAAATAGAAATAAACTTTATAATTATTAATAAGCAGGTAGCAAGATTCATTTGGTCAAGCAAAGAAAGTAAAGAGAAAAGCAAATCAAGGCCGTGAACTTAATGTCCACAATGTTATATGTATTACAGGAGAGAAAGTGCAATGCCGGCTTTTATGTCATATGGAACACACTGCTGTAATTTCGAATTTATGTAACATTTAGTGCGATTTTAAATCGTGCGTGGAATCCCGTAGAATAACTATTACGAGTTTGTTCAACCTTGTGTTCAACAACTTTGTTTAATAATATACCTATCAAATTAATGTCAAGGGAACAAGGCATACCTACTTCACAAAAATATTTAATATGAAAGAAAAATATTGATAACTTACCCAATATATACTTGGAGCCCAATTTGTACAATTTTCGGAATTGATAGTAACAGTAAAGTATGGCTAAACTTCTAAACAGCGTCATGGCTATCAAGTCAGCAGCATTATATTCAGCCTGGAAATAAAAACTTAGTTGAACTTCTCCATTAGGTATACGAAGGGATTTTGACAAAAATATATGTGTTAGATATACTCAATTTTTTTTAAATGGCAGAGTTCTCCCTGGATTTTTTAGTTATGCAAAATAATTTGCAATATAAATTTAAAAAATTATTATTGTCCACTAGATAATGACCCGCTGCGTTGCCAGCGTGAAAATACATTTTGAAATAATACACTTTTTTTCAAATTTTTTTGTTGATTTTCTAAAAGTTTTTTTTTTTTTAATCCGATACCAGAGTCGCTTTTCAGTGAGTTCAGTGACGCATTTTAAGCACTCCAGAGCTGCTCTAGAGCGTCCCGGGCTGTTTATAGGCGATCCAGTGTATCAGAGTTTCGCGCAACTGAACTTTTTAGCACTCCCCTCTATAGCCGAATTCGATTGACCGGATTAGATCGATCTGGTTCAATTTAAGTGAACCACACTGTGTTCTATTGAGGTTGGATCAGTGCACCCTCATCAACAAAAAAATGATCTAGATCAGAAGAAGTTCACTTAAATTGAACCTAAATCGATCTAATCTAGGTCAATCGAATTCGGCTTATATGTACTTATAGAGATACGTGGTATTAAATTCAAAATCGGTCCAGCCGTTCTCGAATTCAAAAAATAATAAAGTTACATCGGTTGAATGCGCAAGCCTAAATAAATGAAATGTGGCAACGTTGTTTCATGTTGTCAAAAAAAAGTTGGGTTATGTTGTTATGTAATGTGAATGAGTTTGTTTATAATTAAATTAATAATTAATTCAAAATTAATTTCTTTTTCCGAGATGCGTAACTCATCTACAAACCTTCCTTGGGATGGCCATAACAACCTACCAAAGTTTCCTCGTAATCAGATAAGTGGTGTAGGAGCGGATAAGGCACATACAAACAAATATTGATATTTATATACAATATAGATGAAGTTAGCGTCGATTTTTGACCTGGAGTTTTAGACGCATGCCATCCGCACCGAAATTTTATACAAAAATGTTTTGAAAAAAGAAAGAAAGAAGACGTTATTCTAAGACTTATAAGCTAAGAGGACAATACTGTATAAATAATACTCAAAATAAAAATCTTATATACTACACAATGGATTAGAATATTGACGGAGATGGAGAAGTCGGTAAAAAAATTAAAATGAACATAAAGTTTCGTAAAATTATTGATCAGGTACTACAGAGCCTACAAAGGAAAGTCATTCACAATTTATGTTGGACCATCACGGAAAACTATCAAACAACCGCGTTATAAAACTCATCCAATTCGTAATAAGGTTTACATATTCATCGATTGACAGTTGATTACTACCGATGGGGCGCATTCTTTTTTTCTCCGGTAGATCCACCGATGAGCAGCCTATCTTGGTCTAGTTCATAGAAAATCGGAATTAGTGTCTCATAATGGAGGATACATCGACGAAAAAAAAGAAGGGAGGGTATACGGACCGACCACTCAAGGGCTCAATCCCTAAAGATGGCACAAGACGGCTGTAAAACAGTTCTTCCATTAATTCTTGTTGGAAGGAATACTTTCAGGAACTGCTTAATAGAGAATCACAAATTAATAATGACATCTTCAACAAAATTCCACAGAAACCAATACAACAAGAAATGAGCGAGGTTCCCAGATTAAAGGAGATTGAAAAGGCAATCAGATAACTAAAGAATAGTAAGTCAGCTGATACTGATGGCATTCCTGCTGAATTCTTTAATCAAGGAAGCTCCACACTAAGTGCCCAGACCCACATCCTAATAAGTCAAATATGGATTACTGAAACCATACTTTCCGAACTGCTGACTGTCCACAGGCACACTGTGGCTGTAGACCCAACCGAGATACAGCTGACATGATTTTCAGTGCAAGACAAATGCAAAAGAAATCCAGGGAACGAAATCGTCCTCCAAACATGGCCTCCATAAATTTAGTTAAAGCATTTGATTGGTTCAACAGAGAAGCTCTTTGGAAGATATCGGCAAAGGTTGGGTGACGGCAAAAGTACATCCAGTTACTCCTGCTGCTGCATGATAACATGAATGCACATGTCCTATGCAACGCGGGACAAGGAGAGTTTTTCAAATAGCTACAGACGTTAAACAGGGCTGTGTTGTTGCACCCACTTTATTTTCTCTATTTAAAGAGTCCATTCTTCACCTGGTCAAGGATCAGCTGCCGTCAGAAGTGGATATCCTGTACATACTTGATGGCAGCTTATTTAACCTAAATAGTTTACGAGCTACGACGGAAGTTTCGACGACATCGATAATTGAACTTTGATAAGCGGATGATAACGTCGTGATGGCCAATGCAGAAGAAGATTTTCAGGCAATTATTGACGCATTCAACCAAGCATACAGGAGAATCGGCCTAGACGTCAACTTTAACAAGACGCAGATTCTGCACCAACCCGCACCGGATGCTAATCCCCAAGCCCCAAATATAACTATTAATGACCATTCCTTGCAGAACGTAGAACATTACCCATACCTTGGGAACCATCTGTCAGCGAATGCAACCAACATCGCTTGAAGTGTGCTAGCATGGCGTTTGGGCGACTTCTAGAGAGTCTTCAAAAATCGCGACATCTAGCGCTGAGACCAAACTTCGTGCCTACAATGCAGTTGTAATACCAACACTTACATATGGCTGCGAAACATGAACCACGTACAGAAGACACATAAAAAGCCTAGAAAAATACCACCAGCGCTGCCTTAGAGGTATCCTACGGATTATATGGCAGGACCGACGAACGAACATTAGTGTTTTAGAGGAGGCCAAAATAAGTAGCATGGAAGCCCTCGTCATTAAGCACCAACTTCGCTGGACAGAGGTCACCTCGTCCGCATGCCGGAAACACGTCTTCCAAGACAGATTCTCTGAGAGTCAACTGAAACAGGGAAATTGATATCAGGAAAGTCAACAAAAACGCTACAAGCATGTCCTTAGGAAGAATATGGTAGAGTGCCGCATCGATTTCAGCAACTGGGAGGCGGGAGGTGAGTGAGGTGACGGCAAATGATAGGCCCTCATGGCGTCGAGTAGTCCACGACGGACCACAAACTTTTGAAGAATAGCGAAACAGACACGAGATAATCATACTTGGTATCGAGTGATCGTCTATGATAATGATGAGTAAGCGGAACTCTATCAACCATTATTCCTACATATTTACATTTATCTTCAAAACACATATTTTAAGTGAAAATGTTTGTATAAAATTTTGGTGCGCGGTTGGCACGCGTCCAAAATGACAGGCTAAAAACTGCCGCTAACTTCACGGACATAAATGATCAATAAGATTCGAATCTATTGTATTTGCACCCGTTGTTGATAAACTATATTTCGTTGCTTTCATGAAAGTAATTATGGGCTTCAGCAACAAACACAAACATACCTATAGTGTTGAAAAATTAATTTATAAAGTTCTAATTACTTCCCCAACTAATTACGCCTTACATAAATAAAATATTGTTTATTATCTTAAGTTGCTATACGAGGCCAAAGTTTTCAAGATGCCATAAAGTTCGGCGATAAAACTGATTTTTGTAATGGTGCGCTGCTGGTGCCCCTTTTCCACAATATAGACTCCACTTGAAACAAGAATAACGTTTTATTGCTGTTTTATCTAGCTATCCAAATAACAGACCTCGAATGTTTTGAGATGTAGGTAAAAAGTAAGTATCGAGTTACTTTTTGCAGATGTTTGCTTGCTATCGCTTTTCAGTCTCAAGAGTCAATAATTTATATTAAGCGCACATTTCCGTCAAAGTTACGTTACTGAATTTTATAGTAATGAGAATATATTGATAATTATGATTCTAAAATGACTCTTTATGATTCCACTTTGATAGAAAAATTTAAATATTATGAGTATCTACTCGAACTCGAAAGTATACAGGGTGTTCCAAAGGCTTATTTATGGCCATCCTTGTAGTAGGAAGGTATCTATGTATATTTCGAAAATCCCAAAATTTCCATCCAATAATCCATTATCTGGATAATTTAACAATGGTATCAAAAAAACAATGGGAACCAAAAAGGAAAGACTTACGCCATGGAGTGTTTTTCCAATGCAACACTACTTTATACGTATTTTTTTTTTTGGAACAGTCGCTTTTTTTGTCTTCTATGTTGAACATATTTGATATTATTATAGTTGTTATTATTAACTATATTTCAATACTTACTCTTTGATAATTTAAGCATAGGTAACCTGTTAATTTAGAAGGTGAGTCATAAGTATGTGATAAAGGTTTATTCACCTTCAGTTTACTGCCAGGTCAAAAGAACTTTGACATGCCTATTATTTATTTTATCGCCATGAAATACGTGGTATTAGAAGAAAGATTACAAATTATTGTTCCTTTGTTTCACAGAACCTAAGAAAATGCAGGTGTCTATCCCATAGATCCTGATAGCACACGTCGAGAAAACGTTGGTTGGGGTCATAAAATAATTGAACCATAGGCGTGGCCGTATTTGGTAGTAGGTACATGTCACCTCGATTAATTGTTTTTTAGTGAATCGGATCATAGGTAGGCGAGGAAGGTATAAGATGGGCAATAATTGTACCTACACTACCTACATATTATCATTCACTTCGCTTACCCCATACCATTATACGCTGAATCCAATAGAGCTTATATGGGCTCACTGTAAAAAGTTAAGTTATGTTACTAGGCACAACAAAACTTTTAGGATCGAAGATGCACGACAACTCTTGGTGGATTCATTGGCGAATACAACTGCGAGAAAATGGGAAAATGCCATGTAACATGTCATAGCAGAGGAGAAAAAAATGTGGGATTTTGAGGACCTAATTGACGAAGTTATGGGAATCCAGACTTTAATTATTACCTTACAACGTGACGCCTTTTCAGGTTTTTCTGAGAATATTTCTATCGACTTTCAGTTAGAAGGATCATAAGGCTTTATTATATCGTTATATAAGGTTAGAAGTTTCACTAG